ATCAGGCTTGTCCTTAGCCGTTTACAGCTATATCAGACTAGAATAGACAAAGAACGATGAGCCGGATGCAGCAAGAGATAGAACAAAGAAGTAGCATGTATAACGTACCTAACAGGTTGGCCGGCCACACAGGTTAGCCAGCCACTTTTGCTAAGCCTTTACCACACTCTACCTATCTACATAATGCCTTAATAACAACACTAGATTAAATTTTCTAAAAAACATTAAATACAGCTTACTTTTTAGGCTTTTAAATAAGACTTAAAACCTTTTTTATAACATGCTACAGCTATTTATAACATTTTTTATATAACACTAAGTAATTAACACGCTAGATAGCCTTTATAAGTAAAATATTAGCCTAAATTAAAAAATCTAACTAAGCTTAAAAAAAAGGTAGTTATTAAGTATATACTTAAGCTTATTATACGCAGATTTTCTCTTAGACTTATAGCTATAGCTAATATAGCTAATTCCTTACACGTAAAGTGTAATCTAGGCTAGGTTAGCTTAAACTAGCCTAGTATATAAGTTAAGCACTACTTTAAGTTTATAATAAAGTTTAATTATAAGCATAATTATAAAAAAATGCTTTATAAAAATTTAAAAGTTATCTAAAGCTAGTTTTACTTAGTAGCTAACATAAAAGCTAAGTATAGTATTTAAGATAAAGATATATATAACTTTAATAAGTTAAGCTTTATAATAAGCTAAATATTAACTAAAGTAGTTATTATAGCTTTAAAAAGATAAAGACAGCTAAAGGTAATATAGTAAAGTAATAAAAAGTAGATAATAGTTATCTAAGGCATTAACATAATAAAGTAAGCTATTTTACTTTTTATTATTTTTAAAAGCTGCTATTACTTTTTTGCCTAGTATAAAAAAAAATCTGCTTTAAAACTAAGTTATTATAGTTTTTAAAAATAGCTAGATAATAAATAAGCTTAAGCTGTAGTAGTTAAAGCACTTTAATAAGTATATAAAAAGAAAAGTTATAAGCGCTTATTAGCTTTTTATTATTAATAGCTATAAAAGCTAACGTACCTAACAGGTTAGCTAGCCACACAGGTTAGCTAGCCACTTTTGCCAAGCCCCTACTAAAACCACCCTATTCTAGCGCAAAACTGCCCACTTTAGCCTTGTATAGAGCAATACAACATAAGATATTATTTAAAGTCTACTTCTGCTACTTTCTTACACATACGCAAGTTATGCCTAGTCTAATTACACTGCCTATATTACCTTTAACTTAGCTTACCTTCTTTAGCGCGCACTTATGTCTTTAGCTTTTTCTTATTACTACGCGCTTTAAACTCTTTTAGAGCAGTTAGACAAGCCTTATTCTTAACTATTAAAGTCTTTTTTGCCTAAATCTGCTTTCTTTTATGCAATCTATGTTGTGTAGCAGCCTTATTTGCTACTTAAAGCTTTGTAATCTTCTTTTATGCTAACACTAGCTTATATGTAATAATTAATGCCCCTTTTAAGACTTTCTTAAAGGCCTTTACTATAGACATTAGTAAGCTATTTATATACCTTTAAATTTTTACCTTTATAAGCATTAATTATAACCTAAATTTAAGAGTATTACTTAAGGTTTATAACTACTAGAGCTTGTTGTTAATAGGTAGTAGTAGTAATAAAGTATATAACTAAATATTAAAAGCTATTTTAACTTATTTTAAGTTAAATAAGACTAAACTAGTGCTTTAAAACTCTTTTTAGATATTACTAAAAGTAATTACTACATTATAAGTGTGTATAAAGCATAGTAGAAACTTAAGTTTTATAATATAAGTAATTTAGTTACACATAAGATTTTTAGCTTAGCACTTATACACTTTCTTTAAAAAAGCAAAACAACCTACACTAAAAGGCTATAAAAAGTATAATAAGTGTAAAAGCATGTAAATAGTAATAATCTTATTCTTTTTATAGTACTACTAGAAATTAAGTAAGTTATAGCTTTTATAGCTGTTAATAATAAAAAGCTAATAAGCACTTATAACTCTTTTTTTTTATATGCTTATTAAAGTGCTTTAACTACTACAGCTTAAGCTTATTTATTATCTAGCTGTTTTTAAAGACTATAATAACCTAGTTCTAAAGTAGATTCTTCTTTTTATACTAAGTAAAAAAGTAATAGCAGCTCTTAAAAATAATAAAAAGTAAAATAGCCTACTTTATTATATTAATGCTTTAGATAACTATTATCTACTTTTTATTACTTTACTATATTACTTTTAGCTATTTTTATCTCTTTAAAGCTATAATAACTGCTTTAGTTAATATCTAGCCTATTATAAAGCCTAACTTGTTAAAGTTATATATGTCTTTATTTTAGATACTATACTTAGCTTTTATGTTAGCTACTAGGCAAAACTAGCTCTAGATAACTTTTAGATTCTTATAAAGTGCTTTTTTATAATTATACTTATAATTAAACTTTATTATAAACTTAGAGTAGTGCTTAACCTACATACTTAGCTAGTTTAAGCTAACCTAGCCTAGATTACACTCTACGTGTAAAGAATTAGCTATATTAGCTATAGCTACAAGCTTAAAAAGAAATCTATGTGTAATAAGCTTAAGTATGTACTTAATAACTACTTTTTTTTTAAGCTTAGTTAAATTTTTTAATTTAGGCTAGCATTCTGCTTCTAAAGGCTGTCTAGCGCGTTAATTACTTAGTGTTGTGTAAGAAACATTATAAATAGCTATAGTGTGTTATAAAAAAAGTTTTAAGTCTTATTTAAAAGCTTAAAAAGTAAGCTGTATCTAATGTTTTTTAAAAGATTTAATCTAGTGTTGTTGTTAAGGCATTATGTAGATAGGTAGAGTGTGGTAGGGGCTTAGCAAAAGTGGCTAGCTAACCTGTGTGGCTAGCTAACCTGTTAGGTACGTTATAACTTACTTAATTTTTAGTAGTACTATTAAAAAAATAAAATTATTACTATTTACATGCTTTTACACTTATTACACCTTTTATAGCCTCTTAATATAGGTTGTTTTACCCCTTTAAAAAAAGTATATAAGTGCTAAGCTAAAGATCTTATATATAACTAAATTACTTATATTATAAAACTTAAGTTTCTACTATGCTTTATACACACTTATAATGCAGTAATTACTTTTAGTAATATTTAAAAAGGGTTTTAAAGCGCTAGTTTAGTTCTATTTAACCTAGAATAAGTTAAAATAGCCCTTAATATCTAGTTATGTACTTTATTACTACTACTACTTATTAATAATAAGCTCTAGTAGTTATAAACCTTAAGTAATACTTTTAAATTTAAGTTATAATTAATGCTTATAAAAGTAAAAATTTAAAGGCATATAAATAGCTTACTAATGTTTATAGTAAAGGCCTTTAAAAAAGTTTTAAAAGAGGCAGTAATTATTACACATAAGCTAGTATTAGTGTAAAAGAAGATTATAAAGCTTTAAGTAGTAAATAAGGCTGCTATATAATATAGATTATATAAAAAAAAGTAAATTTAAGTAAAAAAAACTTTAATAGTTAAAAATAAAGCTTATCTAACTACTCTAAAAGAGTTTAGAGCGTGTAGTAATAAAAAGAAGCTAAAGACATAAGTGCGCGCTAAAGAAAGTAAGCTAAGTTAAAAGTAATATAGGCAGTGTAATTAGACTAGGCATAACTTATATATATATATAAAAGTAGTAGAAGTAGACTCTAAATAATATCTTGTGTTGTATTACTTTATATAGAGCTAAAGTAAGCTGTTTTGCGCCAGAATAGGGTGGTTTTAGTGGGGGCTTAGCAAAAGTAGCCGGCTAACCTGTGTGGCCAGCCAACCTGTTAGGTACGTTATAAGCAGTAGCGAATCTCTGCCTTAGAGGGCAGCGATTCTTCTAAGTCTTTTAAGGTGCATCCCTGTGTAGCGAGACACCTGGCGTGGCGAGACAAATAAGGGGTACTTTAACTTTCAGCAGCTAGAAAACCATACGCAAAACAAATATTACTATAAGTCTGTAGAAATAATCTGCTGTAGCTAATCCTAAATGTCTATTATTAACTCTTCTCTAAAAATTTTATTTGCATTATTGTCTCTGCGCCTAGTTTGTGAAGCGCCTTTTTTTTATAATGTAATTAAGACTTCCTATTCTATAACACTAACACTACGTCTTTTTTGCTCTAGATTTTTGTTAAACAGTTCTGTGCTAGCCTTAAAACTTTACACTAATACCTACAAGTTATCTTTAGCCTTGTGCATACTATTATAAGTTAATTTATGTAGGGTTGCTATGCTAATTAGTACCTCCCGCGGAAGCGAGTACTGATCCTGGCTAGTGCAGAATGACCCTAGGGGCATGTCTCACCTTATCGTTAGTGCGTAATGTATCCGTGGCGGCTGTCAGGCCCGTGGCTGTGCAGCGCCGCTGCCAAGTGCTGCGGGACATCGAAAATCCGACTTTGGATTGGGAGCAGGGCCAGGGCTCCCATGGCCTTAGCGCTTGGCCGTTGCCTTTTCCAAAAATCATCCAGAAGTCGGCTCCCTTATCGACAAGGTGCGCTCCCGTTGGAACGATTTAGGTCTGTCAAAAATAACGGATGCTTACACCCAGACGGTGCCACTGCATTGAAAGAGTGGGGAGGCGACTCGAACGAGGCAGACCTACAATTGGGGCTATGGTCAGCTGCCGGACTGCAGTTGCTCAAGCAGCAGCGATCAGCGGTATCAGGTTCTGGGGAGATTCTGCCTTTTATAGGTGGGACCATTGTTGGACATAAGTGGAGAGTACATATTACCTGGAAGGACGCGAATGGTGGTGGGAAAACGCCCACCAACTATAAGTCACCACATGTGCCTAAATCACACCATTGGGACGCTGCATGCATACCGTTAAGCAAAGGCCGGACGCAGTATGTGTGGATGCAATGACAAATCTGTGCTTCCTGATCGGTGAGAGAAAGATAATCACACGACTAAACCCGCTGGCTTTGCCTAGCGACCCAGATTCAACTGCATTGCATGCCTCAGTCTCGTGAAGAGACACCCCCAAACCCCTTAAGCGACCACATAGCATTAAAGTTATAAAAGGGTGAGGATTATACTGCTGTCGGCTTTTTACAAGAGATATTATATCTTCCGTCCTCTGAGAGCAGTGTCCGCAAGCCACAACCTTAGGAAAAGACATTGACTGACTCTCACAGCTAACGAAGCATCAACAACCTCACGATCTCCGAAGATATGTCGCCCAACTTCTGCAGCTTCCCCAGCGAGCTTCGCAACAAGATATATGAGCTGCTCTTGTTGCACCAGGAACCTATTGACCCTTGGGTTGGTTACAATCGACAGAAGCTCACGCCTGGGCTTTTTCGCGCAAACAAGATTGTCCACCGCGAAGCTAGCTCGCTGTTCTATACCCAGAATCGCTTCAATTTTACCATGCACACGCCTGAGAACGTGGCCTCGTTCCTCGAGCAAATCGGCCGCAATAACGCAGACTATATCCGACATATATGTATCGACTTTCCGAATTTCCTCTATCTGGACCCCGGTAATGTCACTCTCGAGGACAATAGCGTTCGTATCCTCGCGAAGATCCGGACCGAATGTGCCAAGTTGACCACGCTTACGACGTCCCTCTATAGCACAAATGCCATGGAGCTTAGGCTCGACGCACTCGACCACCCCAAGATCGTTGGTGAGGCGTTAAAGCTCGTCGATACTCTCTTCAGAGCCATTTCATCCGTGCAAGAGATCATTGTCGAGGTGTACGAGGACAGTCCAAATGATCATATAAGGAGAGAAATGAAGAGTCACGGATGGACAATCAACGCAATAGAGTATGTAGAAGAGTTTGGCTCCGACATATCTTTCGGTGACACCGAAGATTACGATTATCGCTATGATGATGGTGATTACGATGATGAGGAGTATGATATAGACAATGACAGTGACTTTTGGAGAAGGGCAGCAGACTGAATCCACTGGTATCTACTCACACACTATTGGGTATTAGCGAGAAGAGGAAGAGCAACGAGCCGCAGACGCAAAGGTTTCGTCGCATAGGTAATTCCTTCCAGGATAGTAAGCCCGCCAATAACTATGGTTACAAGAAATTTAGAGATCGAAATCTAGTCGTGACTTCGGCTTCTGTTTAGAAGCTCCTAGCCAGTGTCACTTGTACGTGAAAACGAAGAGTTTATCCAAGGCTCAGAATGTTCCACACCTTTACATTCTCGTCCATTCCACATACCGCCCAACGCCAGATAGGATCGACGCTAGAAGGAGGTCAAATTATTCCCGGGCACCGTCCTATCCTGGATGAAGCTATAGTTGTAAGGGCCATGACTCCGCAATTGTGTTCCTCTCCTTCATGATAACGTTCGCAGCAGTTGCTGCCTGGTGGGATTTCTGAATATTCATGTATCTACTTGCTCGATCAGAATGATTTTCTTCAAACACCTGAAGTTAAGACCGATTACCGCTTACCTTCTAGAATATTTGTCTCTATCTCGGGCAAGGGTTCGTGAGTCCCAGATGTTGTAGATGCCCGCGCCCACTCTCTTGGGGGCTAAAACCACAGCTGCGCGGATCTTCATAGCTGATTCGAAAGTCAGATTCTCTGGTACGTTCAAAAATTGGCCGACTTTGAGCCAATCCTCTTTTCGAAGGATAACGCGGAGTGAGCTTCCGTTCTCGAATTCCCAGGATTTTCCAGTATGGTGCCAGGCCTCTTCGTAGCAGGGAGGGTGACTGACCCGCACCGGCACTCACCTTGCGCCGAAGGCGACAATTTGTTGATGTGGATAGGAGAAGATGGTGTGGCGTCTTGCCAAGCACAGCCACCATCATATACGATTTCGGATGAAAACGGCCCGGAACCTGGCGGTGAGTTTCTCACTTCTTTATCCTGCATCTCTGCTCTATCTTGCCCAGCCCTTGTGAGCTTTCTACAACCCAAGCTCCTCGCAGGCCGTACAGGTCAAACATGAGCACCTCTGTACGGCATTAATGATTGCAGTGCTCCATACAAGGAGCCGTATGTTGTATACCGTGCGACAGCTGTATCACCAAGATATGCAACGCCTGTCCACCTTTGTATATGCTTGCAACTGTGGCTTTCTGCCAGTGGCACTCAATCCGCTTGCCGGAGCGGAGGCTTCGATCTTGGTATTCTCTAGCTTATCATGCCAATCTCTGCCATACCCGCTATGTCCGACGCCCACCCTATCCTAGGCATCTGCCTGCCGCTCAGTATGTATCTCGGACATGTTGTGCTCGGAAAGCACAAGGATGTGAGAGGGCTGGAGCGGGGTCAACGTTGAGTCTGCAGGGCTTGAGGGCATCGTGATGGGTGTTGCGGAAGCTATCGAAGTAGGCGCAGTCGGCCGTTGGATCACATATTGATGTTGTACAACGGCTGTGTCGGAAGCTGATTGCGGTTTCGCGGTTTCGATGCCGGAGGCGTTCGTGGACCTTGCACAAGCGCTCGGGCCATGGGAGCCCTGGCCCTGCTCCCAATCCAAAGTCGGATTTTAGATGTCCCGCAGCACTTGGCAGCGGCGCTGCACAGCCACGGGCCTGACAGCCGCCACAGATACATTACGCACTAATAATGAGGTGAGACGTGCAGGGTCATTCTGCACTAGCCAGGATCAGTACTCGCTTCCACAGGAGGTACTAATTAGCATAGGGACCCTGTATAAATTTACCTGCAATAGCGCGCACAAGGCTAAAGATAACTTATAGGCATTAGAGTAAAGTTTTAAGGCTAGCACAGGGCTGTTTTACAAAAATCTAGAGCAAAAAAGACGTAGTGTTAGTGCTAGAGGATAGAAAGTCTGTCATGTTACAAAAGAAGACGCTTTACAAACTAGGTGCAGAGACAATAATACAAATGTAATTTTTAGAGAAGAGTTAATAATAAACATTTAGGATTAGCTACAGCAGATTATTTCTACAGACTTATAGCAATGTTTGTTATGCGTATGGTTTTCCAGCTACTGAAAGTTAAAGTACCCCTTATTTATCTCGCTACGCCAGGTGTCTCGCTACGTATACACCTTACCTAGATTCTAACTATTTAAAGTCTAAATAAACTACGTTAGATAAAAGCAGTTTAGCCTATCTTTAGTATATTACACACCTATTATTTAACAGGTAGGAACATAAGCACTGATAGAGGTGAAAGTAAGCTACCTAGGTTTATACTAAAAGCTATAGTAGCGTACCAGCGTTAACAAAACCAAAGGGGTCATTCGTAGCCGTCTCTACGCGACACTTGATAATTCTAATTAAGCTGTCAGTTGTCTTGTCGTTAGCAAAGAATCCTAGTCTGCAATGGTCATCTAAGCTTGCCCATGACCACGAAGGTGCGCGATAGCCACTAGGCCTTGGTTTCAGCCCTCTGCGATCTGGAGGAAACCAGAACAACTCCACTGCCAGGTTGCTCTGCCAAAGCCCTGCACAATATTCGTCGTTGAGCGCCTGACTTATTATTTTTGCTACACCGGCGAGAGCTATTAATCTGTCAGAAGTCACCGTCAGATCTCGCTTCGTGAACATGCTGGCAACAGCCGTCCACAACTTTCGAAAATTGTTTTGTGCTAGTGGTTCCGTAACGTCTCCAATCCCCTGAATACCATCCTTAGCACATTTAAAAGCTTGCCAGATAATTTCTCTTGGCATCCAATTATCTTGGTTCCTCTGTGGGAGACCACCAGTTTAGGTTTCCCAGGCAGTGAGTTCGAAGCATTCCCAGAGGAGTTGTTGGCCAGTCAAATAGAGTATCCTGGATGGCAGAAGTAGTTCCTGAACAACCCATGCTTGTTTTGATAGCGGTGTCGAGTTGATGATGTCTTCCCAGATCTTATTATAATAAATATGAAACTCATTGTTGGGGCACTCATCTCACTTGGTTTGTACAGTCGCCTACCAAAAGTGATTGGCCACTTTAGCGAGAGGCCTAGGCCACCCCACAATGCTTTAATTTTAATTAATTGTAACTTAATTAAATTACCACCTTTTTTAATAGTTACAAAAGCAAATAAAACCTCGCGCAAAGAGCTATCGAAGTCTACTGTTAATACAATATAGCAATTCCACCTCTACAGCGTGAGCGCTGGCAAAATTTTAAGTCATCTTAGCATTCCTAAGTTAACGGTTATGTAACGGCGCAGGCAAGACAATGGGTCCGAATGCGGTGGGAGTCCACTCAGAGGCATATGGGAGTGCGTGGGGACTCTGAGCCTGGGAATGCCATTGACACCTATAGGCCTTGTACGAAAGGATATCAGAAAACTACCGAGCTAGCTACGGGGGCGAGGTGCGACTAAATACATGAGGGAATAGGGGTAACAGCAGGGGTCGGGGCCAGGTCGAGGTCGGGGCCGATACGAGGGCCTTCCGGAGGTTCCGGGCGACTCGAGATGGAACGATTCATGAGGATCGTTACAGGTTACATATAACATCCGCTAGCTGCGCAAGCAGCCCTAGCCTATCTATATAAAAGCCCTGCGTACAGGCTAGCCTCTAAAGCTTAACAAACGCGCTAAGAGGCATTTAATTTACTAGGCAGCAAATAATCCTTTTGCCACGCTCTAGACTATTGCAACACTGTCTAAGACCTACTGCCGCATCTATGCTAGTACTGTAAGAAGATACCTTATAAAACATAAGTACTACGCCTTCTATCTGCGTTACAAGCCTTAGCTCTTAGCTGTACACAAAGAAAAACAACTCTGCTTTACTTAAATTTATTAATATAACAAAAGCAGTAACATAGCTTACGTAGCCTATTATAATAAAGCAACATTTAAAGTTAGCTTAGACACTAGACCTCTATATGTACGTTAGCAGCATAGAAAAGCGTACAAGAGTTAGTACCTAAAGCCTACATTTAAGTCTAGAAGGACTATAGTCTCTATATTTAGTGTAATCTTTCTTAATTTTAAATTAGAGCTGTTTATTAACTAGAAAGGTAAGTAAAATAATGCTAGTAAATACTGCTAGATTCTGCACAACGTTAGCATCCTATTCTATAGGCAGCTTACAGAGAAACGCGGTATTAGCATATAGATGCAGGATAGAGCCCCTATTCATACTGCAAAGGCTACCTAAAAGTATATAGACAACTATGGCATAATACAGATAAATTAGCCTCTATAAAGTCCTAATTTAAACCTAATTAAGAACCTTTAGCAGATTATAAAGCTCTGCATCTTAAAGCAACAAGAATATATTACTACTTATAAGCAGATAGTAGATATCCTTAAAGAGGAATAGGCAAAGATTACACTAGCTAATTATAGGAAGAGTATTCTAAGCTAGTTAAAGCGCATAAAGGAAGTTATCTAAAATAAAAGCAGGTTAACTTACTATTAATTAACTATAACGCTAGAAGATAGGCCTTAACACAGGCTTTTTATAGAACTAAAAATCTTTTAATTTAGGTAGCAATTAGTTAAGTAACCTCTTTCCTAAATAGGCTGACTATACCCCTGCAGAGCTTAGATTGTTGAGTGGTGTTACAATCCTTGCTTCGTGGAAGCACTTAGGTCTTATGATGTTCCTAGGAGAGAAGTAGGGCGGATGGTAGGGGCCAACCGGTAGGGTGTACAGTCCTACGTACAGGCTAATAGGCTATTAGAGGGGAGTAGGGTGACTAGATTATAGTTTGCCCTTAATGCAGCAGTAGAAAGGCTAGGTTAAACAGTTCTATTAGACAAAGTTAAAGGTATATATAGTGTAAGATATATAAATAGTATTACAGCTCTTTAAAAAGCTAAATGCTACTTAGTCTATGTAAAGAATAAACTAAATATTAAACACACCTTTTAAAGGTTGTTTAATATAAGAACTATATACATGTGCAGGAGGTGCTAAGGGGAGCAGAAGGAGTTTATAGGAGCCTGCTAAGAAGAGCTCCCTAAGCTCCCCTAGGCTCTCTTAACTTATAGCCTACCTTTTCTTATTAGACAACACATTTCTCTATTACTGCAGGCAGCTATGCTGCTTCTGTGTCTTCTAACTAGTCTATAAGCAAGCCCTGCCCTAATCTAGCTAGATTATAGAGCACTGCTAGTAGAGTTACGCTAGTCTAACTGTAGACTATAACACACTACCCCTTCTCCCTAGCAGCGTCCTTGCTGCTCTGCTTACACAACTATGTTAGTAAAAGTTTATTTATAAAGTAAGCGCCTACTTATTAAAAGGCATTTTTAATATTTATCTTTTTTAAACTAAATAGCTTATTAGTCTTATTTATCTTATTATCTTTATATTACCTTTTATTTTAATCTTTTTTACTAGATAAAAATAAGGCCCTATAGTGCTTACTAATTCTTAGAGTTGTTCTGTATGTTAACTTTATCTTTAGATAAATATGTTAAGTGTGTAAAAAAGTATAGTAAGTGTAATGCTTTTATTTCTAACACTACTTAAAATTAGCTAGAGAAGAAAAGAGAGACGCTTTTTTAGAAGGCTGCTGCTATAAAAGCTTATAAGTAAGAGCTTAGTAAAAAGATGTTATGTTAGGTCCTAAAAACTCTAGAGGCAACAGCTAGAAAGCATTTTAAACAGAATTATATCTAAAAATTACTAAATCTGCTAGAGGCTTAGTGTGTAAAGTATTTAAAAAGAAATCTCTTCTTCTTAGACAAGATAGAAGCCCTTAAAGCTAAAGTAAAAAGTTGCCCCCTTTTACAGCCTTTATTAGCTAGGACTTGTCTCTAAAGGCTACTACTATCTAGTAATAATATAGCTGTTTCTTTTAATATAAGTGCTTTATTACTTAGCTAGTTTCTTTTAGATAAGCTTAAAAGTACTTTTATACTTATAGCTACATGTTCTACAAATTCTTAGCTAGTTTTTATGTGTTTTTACTAGTAAGCTACCTTTTTTATTTTACTAAAAATT